TCAGCAGTGACCTCTTCCAATCAACTTAATTGGCCCAATCTCGCCAAGAAAAGCAACAGAATTGGTTTAGTGCCTCTTGGAAATAGCTTAGCTCCTGACTATTTATGGCCACTGAACTCAAGGATGGGAGCCTGACTCTGAGCCAGGAGTTGACGGCATGTGTTAACTTCTGGGAAGAATGGGAGGTTTCAGTGGGTTTCTGTGCCCCCCTGTGCCTCCATCTTCATCTCTGGGGAAAGTGGCTATACCCAACTTGCTGCACTGGCCACAAATAATTTCAAAGACCCAAAGCCCAGGCTTTCCTCTGACCAGGCAGGCTGGGCTTGCTCTTCTTTCATTCAAATGGTCCTATATGTTAAGGACAATTATTATTTTTGCTATTCTCCAAGTCACATTTGTTTTGGTGCTCCGGTCTGCATAGCTGAGGTTAAAAAATAAAGGTCTGTCTCTGATCATTGAAAACAATGATTCTTAGACTACTTTTCCTCTGAATAGCTCAAAGATCTTAAAGATTTCCATCCTCTATAATCTAGGCTTGGGTACCTCCAGCTTCTGGATGAGTAAACTGAGGCAGTTTTAAAAAGTTTTATTTACACAGTGAGTGAACAGTAGAGACGCTATGGACATAATGACTTAACTTCTGATTAAGTTGCCCTGTAAAGAGAAAAAAGGTCCAGATCCCATTTTCACAATGACCTACACACATGCTAGCACCTATATTTAATTAAATTTCATCTTTGTACAACTGTATACAACTGAACACACCAAGTTTTGATGGGGAAAAGAGGAGCTGACTTTCCTCCTCCCTGAGTCATTATATTGCCACTTTACTAAAAGAGAAACAGAGAGTTAAAGAGGTTAAAAATGTGACCCAAGTCACACTTTTCCCAAGTGGTAGAACTGAACTAGAATTAAGACATTCCCTATCCAAAGTCTTCCGCTTCAACACCCTGCCCTCAGAAATATCTGCCCCCGATCTTCTCACCAATAGTCAAGCACTATATCAACTCTCTCACACAGATGGGTTCTCCCCTCAAAAAGAAGGTAGACCCTTAAAATGGAACAGCTGTAACTTCATGAATTCAAAACTGTCATAAGACAAATAAAGTCCTCTCACACATATGCTCTCCGCTGGTCAGAACCTAATCAAATGGGGTTCCCGTCATGTTCCAGACAGGCAGACATTTATGCATCACAAAAGCACACCCTTCACTCTCTTCCTATCCAGTTGCCTCGCTAGTCATCTGAGGGTATGAACTGGACCAGCTACACCATTCTCTCATTCCCCAAAGTTGAGGGCCCTTCTTTTCCATACACCTTTTTTCACTGAAGATGCACATCCGAGTATCCAAGACCATTTTTATCCTTCCTCAGATACACAGAATTCCTGTGTGGCACGTAGTGGCACCCCCTTCACAAGAGCCGGAATGTCCACCCGTCCTATCCTCCTGGCTAGTTTTCTCCCAGTTACATGAGTCCAGGCCAAAGTGGGCATGCCCACACACGCACACACACACACTCAGGTTAGCTTTACACTCAGCCCAGAAAACATCGAAGATGGACAAACACTCTCAATCCATCTCTTCCCTGATCACGACTTTACCATTCTCCAGCTCCACATATCAAGTCTCATTCCAGCTATGAGGGAGGCCCTGCACACTCTCAAAAACTCAATCCTCAAAGGGATCTGGACCTACATTCTGACCTGAAGGGCAGCACCCTCAAATTCCAGCCCACACCCCCTACAAGAAACAGCAACAGCATCCAGCTCCCTTCCCAACACACAAAAGTCTACATCTTCCTTATCTTTATGCCCCCCCTTTTTGCAAAACCAGAGATATATTTCAAGTCAGCTTCCCTTTGGCCCCTAAGATCCATAAACATCTCTAGAAACTGAATTATAGACCTTGAAGAAACCTCAACAAGCATTGAGGTCTATTTCTGGCAAAATTGCAGTATTTAGCTGAGCCTGGAGAAGGAATTTTTCCAGGGCAGTGTGCCATGTCCCAGTACCCAGCAATGGGCTGAGCATCCAGTAGGCACTCCATTAGCTTTAATTGATTATCAATATGAACTGGTGATAGTGAATTCCCCCATTACATAAGAAACCCATTACAAAACATTATGCAACATGCATTCCTGACACTAGGCACGAATCGTGTATTCCTCCACTTACTTCAGTCTTATGCACACATCCCTTCTCATTCTCACCCAGTGTCAATGCACAAGGACTTTTCCCCTTAAATGTACATCCCTCATTCTAAGCCTCTTCCAATTCTCTCCTCTCTGGGGAGGAAGGAGAGGGGAGGTAAACACCAATCCCTACCCGGTGGGTGTCCTTCCATACAAACGCTTTGTCTTTCCATAAACAGGATTTGAGCTCACACTTTTCTACCCCCACATGTCCCAGTGCCATTCCAGCCAAATTTCCCAGTGCACCCTCATAAAGTTCACACCCTGTGCTCCTCAGATAATCTTTCCCCGCCCCCCACACACATCCCTTTGGTAATCCTCAGGAGCCCAACCTTCCACATGCATCCACCTTTCGCTCACACACACAGTCACCCGCCTACACCACACCCACTCCATGTGTTTGTGCAGGCATGCACAAGCCATCTGTCTTCAACAGGCTGCACCTCTCCTCCTGCTCTGACACCCTTCATAGGCACAGATTTCGCATTAGCTACACCTATGTTCCTGCAAGCTCTTGTCTCCCGCTAAGCGCACAGATGCCCATCCGACAGACTCCCCAGAAACACACACCTCCCAGGCATCAGAGAGGGATGAGACTCCAGCTCTTTTGCCACCTCCCCCTACAAGCACGCGTGCACACAAACACACACACACACACACACACACGCACACGCGCACCTTGGAAAAACATCCCCATCCCTCCCTGACCACTCAATGGTCACAGTCTCACTCCATAGGTAAGCAGATCCCATTGACACACAACCAAATCCTCTAAATCCGGTTACACTCCAGTCTCACCAACACAAAATCCCACACACTCCCTAGGGGAAACACCCCAGACTTCCTACCTTCCTTCAACACTGTTTACCGGACAGAGCCTGCTTTATTTTCCAACCCCGTTAACTCCCAACGTCATACCCAAGTCTGTGTTTGCCCCCAAGTCAGAGGCGGTTGGATTTTATCTAAATTCTACCTCTCAGCTTTCTTTGTGCGACGTGTCAGGAAGGAATTGAGGGCAGGCGGGAGGCAGGCTGAGTATGCTGGAGAACTTCTGAGTGTTGTGGAAACAGGACCGCTGGAAAAGTCCCCTCTATGTTACAACTTTCTCCCATCCTGACGTTTAGGACAGAGCGCTTCCATGTTTTCCTCGCTCTCGCTGTTTTGCGGGGTAGGAGCGGGCATCACTTTATTAAAAAGCAGGTTCCCTCAGTACACTCCATACTCAGATGAGTTACAAACATCAGGCTCCAGGACAAACACCCACTCCTTCCAGGCTCCCCTCCCCTCTCAGCAGGCCCCCGCCCCCACCTCTTCACACACATAAACAAGTCCACAGGCGCACAGTCTCCCGAGCTCTCTAGCTCTGAGCCCGGCGCTCCCGGGAGCGGCCTCCTTTCGGACTCAGAACCTGCTGCCCGCCGCCAGAGGCCAACGCCAGACGATCTTTTCGGTGTTTCCCCCACCGGGAATCCCACCCGAGCCTCGATTCCAGAAAAAAGGATCCACAGCCCCCACACGGTTCGACGCAGGGGTCTCATTGCAGTGCATCGGAAGCGCAGACAGCGAATGAACGCACACAGCAGCCAAACTCCCGCAAAGAAGCAGCGCCTCCTGGACGCTCACCGACTTCAGCCGACAGCAACAAGCAGAATCCTACTCCCCCAGCCCATCCCCTCGGCCTTCGCGCCTCGTCTCCCTAACCTTCAACTCCCAAGCGTCCCAAATTTCATCAGGAGCATCCACCACCGAGTAAAGCTCTGGGGCAATGGGGCAGTTCGGTCCGTCGTGGGACATTTAAACTCCGACCTGGCTGGCTGCGCGGGTGCCCGGGTTTCCCAGCCTCCCACGCCACAGCTGAACGTCAGAGAACAGGCTCGAGGAAACCGCGAGGAGATCCCCAGAGATGGCTGGGCCCCGGTGGCCGCAGCTCCCTGTAGGGGTCCCAAAGGTGCGGGATGCCACGGAGCTCCAACATCTGCGCAAAGGCCCAAGGTGGGGTGGCCACCGGGTGGGCGCCGGCCAAGAGGAGCCCGCGGCGCGAGGTCTTTTCTGAAAGAAACCTTTCGGGGGACTCTGACGCAGGTATGCGGCATGGGGCGGTGAGTCCCAGCTCCCAAAACTGGAATGCGACGTTCCGGGTCCTGAGCTGCGCGTCCCCTCCCCCAGCTCACGCTCCGGCCCCGGAGGTGCAGGGGCGAGCTGAGAATCAGGCGCAGTGGCCCGCAGGGTGCAGGGCGTGTGCAGGGGAGCTGCGGCCGCACCTCCCCGCCCGGGGTTCCTGTCTGCCGCCCACTTTTGTTATAGGATGCCCGGGGAGCTTTCTCCGAGAAGCTGACGGGTTGGTTGGGGTGGTGGATGGTTGAGTCTGTTGCGTCTCTTTCCTGCCTTTCTGCCGTCCCCCTTTCCCCTCGCCTCTCCCCACCCTTTCCAATCCAGGTCCCTTAAACCTGATCGCTTTCCCAGACTGAGGGAGGCTTCTAGGGGAGCGGAGGGACAAGAGGGGAGTAGAAGAGGTGGAGAAGTGTCCGAGTGTGTGTGCGTGCGCGCGTGTGTGTTTGCGTGTGTGTGTGTGCATGTGTGTGTGTGTCTGTGTGTGTAGGGGGTGGCTGCGGTTGTGCCTCGGCCTGGGCAGATACCAGCGCAAACTTTGGGGAAGGCACAAGCCCGGGAAAGTAAGTGAGCGCGGCGCGATGGGGGTGGGGCGGAGTGCGGAGTTGGGGCGCCCGCGCCGGTCCACTGGAAAATCGCTCCCCACATGGCCCCCCATCCCCAGACCTGTTCACCCAACGTCCCGCCGCACCCCTTACCGTGGCAAAAGTAACCATGGCATCCGTGTGACCGTTTCCAGGGACGTCGACATGAAGAGAGAGGTGGACGCGAGCTCGGTCATTCAGAGTCTCCCCCACCCCGCCGCAGCCACTACCCAGCAGGGGAAAACGGGGAGGCAGAAAGAAAGGAGAGAGAAGAAAGTAGTTGCGCCGGGCTGTGTCGCGGGGCGGTGCGCGGAGCTGTTCGGTAGGGAGACGAGCTTCAACTCTGAGTCCCGTGAACATAATCTGCGCGGTTATAACCAGCCAACCCGGCCAGATGGCTCCGCGCTCAGCGCCTTAACCCCTTCCGCGCCGCGCCGCCCGCCCCCGCCCGGCCCGCGCCGCGCCGCGCACGCCGGTGCCCCAGAGCCCCTCGGACCTCACTTCGGGACCCGTGGCGGGGAAGGGGTCATTTCTCCTAGTCCCTCTTGAAAAACAAAACAAAACAAAACAAAACAGCAACAGCCACAAAAACTTCCAGATCAGTAGTATTCTTCAGTAACCCCCACCCTTGAGTTCTTTTTTAGAGATCCAGGAAAAAAACGAAACATTAAATTTACCCTAACAGGTTACATGTTAGTGTCTTTAGCCTTTCTTAGTTGTTCTTTTTCTTGAAATTTTTCTTTTTGATCTTTTTTCCTTTACAAGGCGTTAGGACCTTTTCCTGCCCCTTTTCTCTGGCGGATCAGGTCTGAGGCGTAAACTCCTCCTCCAAACCTTAGACCCTTCCAGCTCTTGATCTCTCCCCACCCCCTACCAAGCCCACCCGCCACTCCTCCCCTCACCCCACAACACGAACACGCCCTAGGACAATCGCTCCCCGGCGACCTCGCCGCTCCCGGGGACCCGCGCCCAGGACGCTGTGTCGGCGGTCAAGGGAGGTCAAGGTAGAGGGTGTGGGGGCGGGTGGTCCGAGGGACTAGGGAGGGGCTGTGTGTGCGCGCGCTCTTGTTTGCGGGAGCTGGAGTGTGGAAGGGAGAAGGGGATGGATCACAGCCTCCCATTTCACCCAGCCTCCAGCTTCTAAACCCCTTCCTTCCAAACTAGGATGGGGCCCTGCAGTTAATCACTCGCCCAGCACCCACCAGTCTGCACCCAGGGACAGCGCGAGAAGCAGGAAAGGCGAGCAACAAACCTCTTCGTGGCGCCCAGAAAGTAATGACGCTCACTTCCCCACCGGTGGATTCATTGGAAGAAAGGATAGGGGGAGGGGGCAACATCTCTTATTTGGAGATAATTTTAGCTGCCCGTTAGACCCCACTTGCTCCGAGCCGTTCTCTCTAAATTTACCAAGTTAAGTCATCTTGCTTTCGCCCATTTGCCATCGAGAGAAGCGGGGGGGGGGGGGGGGGGTGAATAGCACTTAGGGATCAACGAGAAATCGAGACCCCTGGAGCGGAGTTTTGCCCTCTTGCCCCCTGCCCGATCCCTTGCTTGGTGGACCTTCTATCCAAGCTCCTCATCCCTTCCTCCCGGCCACTTCAGCCACTCCTCACATCATCTCCTGCCAGGACCTTTTGACTCACGCGCGAGTGGGGAGGGGAGCGAGTATCCCGTTTCCTCCCTTCCCTGTCGTTCGAGGTGTCTAACAAGCAAGCCACTCCATGTTTCGGTTAGGGCCCAGGTTCAAAAAATCCAAATACCTTGGAATTGTTTGAAATTTTGGTCAAACAGCAGAACTGCACCCACCGGTTCAGGACCAACCGGCCGCAAGGAGAAGCTGGGGGGTTTGATGGGGAGGTGGGAAGGGAGGAGGAGTCTGGGGGCTGCGTACTAGATAGATTGTACCTGCCTCATCATTATCCTGGCTGATGGGGGTTGCCACATCGAAAACGGCCGGAAGCGCCCGATGAGGCCCAGGGGCGTCACCTCCTGCGGTTCCTCGCAAGGGTAGGGTCCTCCTTCAGTGTCTCCCCTCGTGCCAAAATGTCGACGTCTTCCTCAGGGCCAGACGAGGCTGCCGACACTCAGCACCATGAAGGTTTGGATTGGGCGTGCTCTGTCGGGTTCTGCTTTTCTCCCTCTCATCTGGCCCGCCTCCCTGCCCTCCCCCACTTCCCGCACTTGCCCCCCTCCTCCAGCTTCTCGCCCTGGTCAAAGGAGGGGATTCAGTCCCCAGTTTCAGATCCACTGGTGGAGTTCTTTTCTCAAGCTCCAGGTCCTCCGGGAACCTGAAGATTGCAAGGAAAGAGGTGGTTGGCTCCTGCTGCAGCAGGGAAGGGGTTAAATACTTGTGCGGACTGATCTGCAGGCAGCTCCCAGGTCCCTGGCAGTCTGGAGGGAGGAGGGGAAGGGGGGCAAACAAACTTGAAAAATCAGAAGAAACGAAGAAGAAGAAAAGGCAGCAAGCAGTGCCTTTAGGACTTGGATTTCTTCTGCAGATGACTTGCACTGGCTGGCCGCCTCACTTTGCCCAGACTTTCGGGGATCCCAGGAAGAGTTTGTATTGTTTCCAGCTCCAGGGGGTTTTGTCCTGAGCTGGTGGGTCCGTCTTTGCTTGCAATCAACAGGCCTTGTAATATGAGAGGTGACACCTTAATCTTGCCAAATATGTGCTGTGTCTTTGTGGGGAGAGGGGAGGAGGGACGGAGGGAAGGAGAGAGGAAGAGGGAGAGACCCCGACGGAGCAGAGGGTGAAAAATGCACTTTTCCTCAGACGATTGGTTTCCCAAAGGGAGAGCCTTAGCCCTTTTCTGGGCGTCTTTCACACAATCTCCCTTGAGCGCCGCCAACTGCCTTTTCCTTTACTGTTTTCCTTTAGACTTCAGACCTGAAGATGTCTTGCCTCCGAGGACTAGGGAGTGACACCACCCCCCAGGTCTCTGTAGTGGCTTCCAAGAGAGTGGCAAGGTGCTAAATGAACAGGGTGGGCAGAAAAAAAGAATTAGAAAGGTGTATTTTTGAAAAGATAGAATAAAAAGATTATTATATACAATGTAGGGCCATTTTTAAGCTGCAGAATATTGTGACTTCTAAGTAAATCCGTGTTTCTAAATAGAGATTTTTCTTTGCTATAGAAAGACCGTAGTAGTATGGATAGCAAAAGCAAAGATCAGGACTGGAAAGTTAGCTGGCTAGGCTGTGAGCTCGTGCCGCATAGACAGCCCTGGTTAAGGAAGCATCCAGGATGAGATCTTTTAGGATTCACTAGGCAATTGCCCCTCTCCAAGTTGACTTCGTGGCCATGACTTTGGCTGTCCATCTGTCGACTATATTTTTAGGTTGCTGAACTTTCTTTTCTCCCTGCTGTCTCTGAGCCTAAGTCCCTGACTCCTGAAAGTGATTTCTGAGAGCAGGAACCAGATCTTGTTTTTGAAAACCCCCTTTAAAACTCTTTCCTAAAGCAAATTTCCAGAGCATGCCTTCTGGTTACCCTTATCTTTTGCAATAGCACCACTCTGTGGTTGGAACACTGAACAGAAACAGGAACGTGGGATTGAATTTTGCCTTTACCTCATGAAAAACAGCGCTTCTGTCCTCTGTGTGAGCTCAGTGGACTGTGCGCTGTGGTGGGGGCTCGGCATGTGGTGAGGGAGGGGGCCCTGTGCAGTGGCAGTATGTGGTTAATTCATTGTGACATGTTGACCCAGGAAATGAGAGAATTGGACCGAATGGCCTCCTAGGACCCTGTCCGTGTCAAAGACAAGCTTGGATGTTCCCCGCCATGATCGGGTAGCTAGCCTTGAATGCTTGTCCTCTTCCATTGCTTTTCTTTCTCTCTCTTTTGATAAATGCCACATTTTTCACTGATCCTAAAGCATTTGCAAGTTGCATCTTCTGCTGCTGGAGGGCGCTGTGGGGAGGTCCTGCCCACCCCCATCCACCCAGACAGCTGCTAGAGCTGACTGGAGTCTGGAAGTCTCCGTTTTTCAAACAATAAAAGTGAATGCGAAAGGTGTTTGCTCAGGGACTGGAGCTTAAGGGTCAGGAAAGGCGTCTTCATGCTACCTTGGCGCCTCTGCACTTGAAAGATTTCTGGCTGCCCACCCATTACTATACATCTACTGGCAACAGCATTATTAACCAACAGCTACACAGGCTGTCAAGCCACGTAGCAATTCTTCTCAGATGCCTTGGAGTCATCTGTGAGACCTTATTCTTTTCTTTCAAATTGGATCCAGTTGTCCACAGAAACGGAGTGGCTTGTTTATATGTATTCAGCAAGCCCGGGTCTTCCCCCAAATTTCTGTCATCTTAAGAAAGCACAGCTTTGCTCCAAGGACCAGTACTCTAAACAGAACACAGACATCGGAGATCAACTCCTATCATCCTACATCCTCATTCCACATTTAATAACTAAGGAAACTCGGAATCACGTAAAAGAAAAACACAGTAACAGACCAGGACCTAGAATTCACTGCCAGAGTAGATTTTGGTGTCTGAGAAAAGCAGTTTCCCCTCTGCCTACTCCACCCGGTGTCCATGTGTTGTTGGACAGGTTTCTTAACTTCTCAGAACCATCTTGAGTTGGTGAAAACACCAATCTCATAGAACTAATATGAAGACCAAAGGAACTAATGAATTTAAAACACTCAGCACGGTGCCTGGCACAATGTTTGTACCAATCCCAATCTGATAGTCCTTACCCTGAAAACACCGTCACACCACTAGGGGAATGACTGTCTTTAGAAAGAAGCTTGGCTCTGAATGGCCTGTGTACTATTATTTGTGTGCCACCCATACACATTTCATTAATATAATTTTATGGATGTATATTTTCCCCTTGGACAAATATAGCAAGAAATTAGCAGAACGAAGTAGTGGACATATTTAGAATTTATATAGCTTCCTAACGTGGACCTCAACGTGCATGAAAGACAGAATTGAAGAATTTCAAAGTGTCGTCTTATTCATTCTCTGCCTCTCACCCAGAACCACCTCATCATTTAAAAGGAAATTCCACCATATCCTTCAACTCTTAACAGATTGCCTGGGTATATTATTGGTTTGTTGCTATTGCTAATTATGTTCAAGGGCTTACATTGAACTATATAATGAATTGCATTGAACAACAGTGAATCAACTCATTTTGTGACATGGCATACATATTCATAATTATGTTTCAAGAAATTACCCGTAATGATAGAGGGAAAGTATGTATTCCTACCACACAGGTGGATATAGAAATCATAATAAAGCCTCCTATTTCACCAATTGTGATATGAATTCCTAACCACCCTATAAATTAACTTTATGCTGCACCAAACTCCACTCATAAAAAAATGACATTAAG